AGAGAGAGAGAGAGAGAGAGAGAGAGAGAGAGAGAGAGGAAATTGATTCAGCAAATAGGAAGTAAAGTCAAAGTTTCCCAGTTGACCTTCAAGTGGGAAATCTGCTTCTTTCCTCCTAGGCCAGTTCAGAATCCTCACTAGGCCTCTGTAGACACCAACTCCCCTAGAGGGGCAGAGGTGCTTCCATGTGGCTCTCCAGTGGACCTGCTCTGACACTGCATGGGATGGGCTCTTTGCTGCTTGGTGGTGATGGAAGTCCTACCCTTCCATTAGATCTCCCAGAGGGAAAGGCTGGTGACTCCTTACTGCCTGGTTGGGTGCAGGTTCTCATTCCCTATACTCCACACTGACAGCAAGGATGGGGGACTCATTACTACCTGGACAAGGCTATAAGTCCCAACTCACAGGAGAGGGGTTGCTTTTCACATCCAGGTAGGCTCAGGAAAGTGCACACTTCATTCAGCCTTTACTGATAGAATCACAGTTAGGGAAGCCATTTTATTCTGTCGTGTTTGCAGAAGAAGACCAGTTATTGTCTAAAAGTTTTCTGTCTTGCTGAACTGCCCCTATTCCTAGTCCTTCAACTGGACAAATTATCTCTCTGAGTTGTAGGCTTCTCCGACACTCATTCCAGGATACAAAAGACAAAAAGAAAGGCCAGAAGTCTTGCCATCATGTTGTTCCTTAGGTGTTATGAGGTCCCTAGCCAGTCTGCCTCTTTTTTCCACATTATGGTGATTTTTATGTTTGTTTTGTACATATGGTCTAGAATTTTAACTGTGTTCAGAGGGAAAACAGGGAAAAATATGTGTATTCTATTATTATCTAAGTGAAAGTCTTATATAATTTTATATAATCTGGAGGATTTTCTTTAGACTGTGCATATAATATTATATAATAGAGTGAATTTCTTATTTATTACACCTTGACCACACAGTATGAATTGCAAGGGAATTAATATGGTTCTGTTTTCACATATTTTTTCTCACTTCTCTCCTCAATCTGATTTTAGTTGGCTATATTTTTGTTCTTAAATTCTCAATTACAGCATTCTAAATTCTAGAATTTATACATATAAACATACTTATTGATGTAACATCTGATACATACTGGTCCTCCCCTACCTGAAAACCTTGAGTGAAGAAATAAGATCCTTGTACTCCTTCACCTTCTCTGTTTTTCCTGTTTGTAGCTTGTTAAAGTTATGTTAAAATTCTGCACTGTTAGAATTTATAATACTTACCTTCTGTCACTTAGTCATATTCCAACCGTTGTTTTAAACTTGGCCCTAATTAAAATGCCATCTTTTAACTACAGAGATTTTCCATTTATTATTTCATTACTCAAATTTACCTTTCAATTGTTTTCACAAAAATATTTTAAGGCTCTTAGATTTCCAACAACTTTTTATTTTTTTAAAAAAGTTGTTTATTTGCCACCATGTTATATTCGAGTAACGATTTTAACTGTGAATAAAATACTTGATTTACATTTTTTCCAAGAACTGAATAGGCATTGATTAATCACATGCTAGCAATGAATACTGCTGTGAGTTATAAATCCAGGCTGATTTTACCCATTTTTAAGTGATCTTATATGTTCCTTTATATCCTCAACAGAATTGCCCCTGGCCTGCCACCAATCATAACTATTATTTCCCAGAAATATAATAATAGGTAGCATCGGATCTTTTATTTCAGAGAAAAAATTCTTGAAAATTATATTTAAAGGTTTACCTCTTCCACTTATCATCTCTGTTCTTTTTCATTCTATTACTTCACTTTCCTTATTTTCAGCATACTCTCCAGGTTCCTAGTTGTATCATCAGCAGATTCTGTCCTCCTGTTACCTGCTTCTAATGTGGCCTTCATTTGTATCATGTGAGGTTTAAAATTAATTTTACTTCTTCTCTGAGCTCTGCCAGCTTACTTTTTCATTTCCTTTTGTTGTCTTTTCATTTATTCCATGGACCCTTGTATCTCTGTACTGCACTCACATTTTATGGAGAACTCTTTTTCATTATGTCCTTTGAATTCTTGGAAGCCATTCTGGGTAATACCTTCATGAGTTCCATAGCAAAATCTTTCTTATCTACTTTCATCAGTTTTTCCATTCCTTTTCTCCTTTGTCCTTCTTACAAAATTTGCATTAAAAATGCAAGCAAAACTTTGAACAGTTTCACCTTTTTTTGTTTCTAAAATGAGGGGAATGTTTTATTCACCAGCTTCATGTTTTTAATGCACCAGTTTTAAAAGTGTGGATCCAGGGCTAGGAAACTGACTTCAGCCATTTGGTTAGAATAAAGCTCCATATAATAGAAGTTACAGAATTTGTGTGTGTATATATGTGTGTGTGTGTGTGTGTATGTGTGTGTGTGTGTACACATAGATGTGTAGATGTATATGTGTATGTATGTATGCATGTGTATATGTTTGTGTATATGTGTATGCTTGTGCAAGTGTGTATCTGAGGATGCATGTGGGTTTGTGTATATGTATGTGTGTAGGTATAAGTATGTATATGTACAGTTAGCCTCCTTTTAGCTACAAGGCTGCTAGTCACCCACACGGCTGCTTATGTTCTTGTCATAAAACAGTGTAGAAAACATGATATGTCTGTATATTTTCTGTGCTTTCCTCCCATTTTCTTTCACCCTATGGTATCTCCTGTGACACACCTATTCACCCAGTCCTTGTTTTTCAATGAGGGGTCATTAGTTCTGCCCACCTGTGTGTGCCCAGGAGAAATAGCCACTTTGCTATCCTCACCTAAGACTGGAGGGGCCCAGTATCCTCTCTACCTGTACTCATTGAACTGAATTTGATATTTCTTCTATTGTTAGGATTATTATGATAACAATCAACATTATGATTTACAGCAAGAAAGTTTTGTAGTTTTCAACAAAGATCGTGTTTTTCTTTGTGTCTTCTGTTTTTCTTACCCTCTGTTGGCTTCTGAGGGTTGAAGAGGATATGCACTTCTTCAATTCCCATTATTTGATATCTCCAACATAAAATTTTTAGCAATTTTACAAAATTAGCCAGAGTTACTTAAACATTCCCTCCCAGTCAAGAAAATTCATAAATTATTCTTTGTTTCTGTTTTCTATTTTTTTTAAACCTTATTTTGGACTGTTTCCTAAATAGTGCTACAGGAGTGTGTATTTTCATGTTATTAAAGCAGCATTTAGAGAAGAAAGTGTTGTAAACAATGCCCATGTAATTATATTCCTTGGCACCAAATCTGCCTTAATGGTTTGGCTTAGTGCTTGGATGGACAAGGTAACTCTGCAGTAATTGTTACCTTGCTGACACCTGACTCCCATTTGTCCAGGGGGACACTGGCACCCTCCAGTCACTGGGTCACACTGTCCTGCACCACAGGAACACCTTTGGACACAATCCTGACCATAGTGATCTTCAGGACAAGCTGCAGGAAAAAGTAAGACAAAGTCGGACAAAAAAAAACCACACTTTTCTTATAAACATTTTGCCAGTTGAGATTTTAAAAAATGTTTAAATACAATGCCATTTCTCTTAATCAAATGGAATCTATTGTCTAGTTTTCAGTTTGGTTTGTAGTCTAAAAGTTTACTTTGAAAAAAAAAACATAAGGAGGAACTCTTCAAATGTCACTTACTTTAGAGCTATTTTAGTTGAAATTAGAAACAGATAACCAAATATCTATTGTCAAAAATTTACATATGTCTTTTAAAAATTTGGAATACCAGGCTAGGGATGTAGTTCAGTGGTAAAGCATTTGTCTAGCATGTATAGGGCTCTGGGTTCAATCCTCAATGCTGCAAAAAATAAAATAAACAAAACAAAATAATAAATAAGGAACACCAACTCTTCACAGCATGGATCCAGTCTCACTTTGCCACATGGCACTGGCTTAGGGTGTGTGTATATGTATATGTTTTTGCATTGCATATATATTATATTTGTAATAATCTTGACTATGTTTATTCCTAAAGTCCATTATGGAATCTTAGTTTACAATCCTAAACATCAGTATAGGACCCATCATGTTTACATTCTCAAATACTGATTTATGTATTTGTACCTATTAATCTAATTAACTATTTATTTTGATTTATTCCAAAATTCAGTACAATGCTTACCAAAATGCAGTTAATGCATAAGCAAAAATGACTATCTGTGAAAATCCAGGGAGGGGGAAAAATGGCAGCAACATAAACAGAAACCAATATCATCCATCCTTGACCTTGCATGAGAAGGGGGTTGAAAATTTGGCTCTAGTCTTCATAGTTAAGGCAAACGGAAGTGCTGATGTAGGAGATCACAGCTTTCTAAAGACAATGTGTTCCTAATGTTCAGGGAAACCACAGTTTTTGAAAATGCTTTGGCATGAGCATATTTGTCCATTGATTCTCTGAAGAACAAACACAAAGGAGTCAACCAGGACCTTCCTTGGGAAATGTTTATGGCTTTGACTCAAAACTGAGCTGGCAGTAGAGACCTCAGAGGCTGTATCCATTAAGTGTCCATTGTCCCCTACCTGGATTCAAGACTTTTTCTTATTTGTTTTTTTTTTTTGTCCTCAGTACAGCAGAAAGAAAAATTAAACAGAGAAGTTACCTTTATACAAAGCAGACAGAACAGCTACCTGCCAGGGAAATACAAACATTTTGGGTATCTTCAGCACAGAACAACTTAGTCCTCTGTCCATGCACAAACTCAGCTTCCAAACAGGATCATGAATAATGGAGCTTCACAATCCAATCACATAAGTTGAGGTGTGCATGCATGATAAAGCAGGTTTTCTATTTTGAAGATAGTTTCCAATGGTACTTTTGCCCTTTCACTGTGAGGTATGTGATAACAGAACACAGCCCCCAAACATCATGTGCAGCTCAATGAATGATCACAAAATGAACATCCTCATCAAAAGCTCCAGGCCCCCAAATCGATAAGGCCAGGACTGCCCCCATTATGTGAGCTCCTTCTTGTTGCCTCCTCTATGTTCCAAAAAAAAGATCATCATGATACTGACTTCAAACACTAGGGTCTCCTTCTGACTCAGAGTCACAGGGGATAAGTACATCCAGAGTTATTTGGGTTAAGCAAAAAACCACCCAAATATTTAGAAAATGAAAGATCTGATAACAATAAAATGTATTTGCTCTGTGTGTTCAAACCTGTACATTTTTAAACGTTCTTTACCTTTCTGTCCCTTAAACTTTTTGTCAATAGTTTTTGTAATATGCAGCTAAGGTCTTCGGGTTTTGTGGTGCTATTTACTTTTTGGTGTTTACTTTTTGCTTACTTTGGAGCTAGCAAATTGCTAAGGATAAAGAAACGGTGGGACTTAGACAATGAGGTTGACATTGTGAATGCAGGAACCGCCAGTTTGCTCTGTTCTTGGCAAACAGATTTTCTAATCTTGACTTGGGGCCAGCATGGCTGGGGTGGGAGGGATTATGACCCAAAGGATCTCTTTTGTCACTTTCACCAACTTTAGCTCTCAACCAAAGTCTTTCGTGAGTATTCCTCAACCATGAATTTAAGTCAGCTTGTGTTTGCTGTTGCTGCAGTAAATTATTAAGTGAATTACAACATTTACTCTTCTAACTGCAGTCCTTAAAAACCTCAGCTTTAGCATATTTGGTACCTGTATCCAGCATGGAACCATCAGTATATCCATTCCATAATAGGTAAGAGTAACTTACTTTGGCTGCAGTCTGCTCCAATGAAGCCAGGAGGGCAGTTACAGGTGCCAATCATGGTATCACAGCTGCCGCCATTTAAGCACTTGCATGTCATTTGGCAATACGGGCCATAAGTGCCTTTTGGGCACCCTGTTAAAGAAATCCGAAACCATATGTGGTGGTATAACTTAAAACAGTCACTGTTCAAACTTATACCCATAGACACGTGGTTAACTCAGCATTCCAATTATTGTTCTTTGGTATTTTCAGTCATTTCAAGCTACTGGTTCAAGGATGTGAGAATATGAGAATACGTAGAGATAGATGGATATCAGTACCTGTTGCTGCTTAAGAAAACATTAGACTTAACATGAACTACCTTGGAAATCAACCTCTAAAGAAAGCTTAGAATGGAAGATTTTTCCTAAACAAGAGTATTTCATTCCAACCTAGAAAAATTTATTATTTTGCTTAATGTTTAAATGTTATAGTTTGTCTTGTCTGGAACGATCTAGGCTTCTTTAATAAATGGAGGCATTCCTAAGATACCAAGTAAAGGATGCTTTTAATTTTCTGTTGTTTTCAATTGTCTATTTTCATATCCATAGAAGTATGCTCTACCAGCAGGATACCTATATAAGAGAAAATTAAGCATTCAAAGAATGTTTTTCTTTTCTTTTGAGATTCAAATTTTTATAATCTCCACCCATGTCTTGTCTACAAACTCATAGTTCTTACCTGGAGTCTTAGATTTTGCTTATAGATTCAAAGAGTGACTCGGTTTTTCTTCTCTTCTCTTCTAGTTTAAAAAAAAAATAAATTCTCTACAATGGAAATGAGAAGCCCAATAACCCAACATTGTTCAGATCAAGGTTTGTTTCTCTGGCATAGCTGTATAGCTGTTGTGTTTCTTTATTCCTCTTCTATGAAAAATGATGGATTCACTTTGCATTCTCTCCTGCCATTCTCTCTTTCCAAGGGATATCATTTCTCAAAGCTAACTGACTTTTTTTTTTTTTTTGGTGTAGAGCATCCTTTAGTATTCCCAAGTAGTTCTTTATCACCAGCCCTTATAAAAACTTAATAGAGTGTAATACTCACTATAAAATTAATGATTTAAAAATGTGTCTTCTTCTCTTCTCCCAGTCACTAAGACAAAAAATTCTTCTGGCCCATCTAGCTGGGTTAGTACTGTGAATGTTTGTAGTTTTTATCAAGTTACTAACGTAGTCAAACAAATGTACAATGCTGAAAAATAATATTCAATGACTTGGTTTTAGGAAAAAAAAACACACACAAGCTGAAAATAGAGAGATGGAAGCCAGGAGTTGTGGTGTGTCTTGCTGACATGTTGCTTCTAAAAAAAGAGGCTGAATTAACAACTGTTGATTAGTATGGAAAACTCTGGAGTCACATTACTGTGAAGTGAAAGATGGCATGAGTTTCTGTGCAAGTAAAGAAAAGAGCAATCTTTATGAAGTGAAACTGATGCTCTTATTTGAGGAAATGTTGAACTGAGGATATAATTCTTAGTAACAAAGAGTCAGTATCTCAGTTGAAAGGAATGAAGGGCTTATATATAAATATTTGATGAATTCAAACAACTGATATATGTGATGGTTTCAATTTGAAGATAATTTTCATGTAAGTTGAAGTTCCTTGGGAAACATAATTTCCCTTTGGCATATACCCAACTGCACACTATCTTAATGGTGGCTTTACATTTGATAGCATCATCCCTAAGTATTCCTTTTTCATACAAAAAAACCCTAACACCTCATTTCTGGACTTCGACTTAATTATCTTTTTAAAATTGGGACACTGGATTTGATGAAATTAGCCTACTGACGAGAATGCCATCTTTCAAAGATAGTGTATGTACTAACCTCTTAGTCCCCCAACTCATTAAATTTATATCAATACCATGGTACATATTTATAAAAGCAGTCTAAACTTTTTTCAAGAATAATTATTTCATTGATAATTCTACTTTCTCATTCAATTCTCTATTATGTGAAAGTTGAATTTCTGGAATCATGCACACAGGCCTTGCTCAAATGTTCACTGTATTTAACAAGGAAACACACCCAGGACATAATGATTTCATTTGGCTTTTCTGAGTAAAAGTCAGTCCTCCTCCCTCATCTCCTAATGTTCCATTTTGATCATTACTTGGCCTTTGCTTGATCTTTTACAATTATTTCTCCCTGGAAATCTTGTCTCCCTGGCAAAGAGTATTTAGTTATTTTCCATTACAAAGTGATTTTTTTCCCCATCCTTGCACAATCCCCTTCTCTCGCTTCTTCATCCCAAGAAGGAGCTTGGATTCACATTTACAGTTCTAATTTGTTTAAATATTAAAGATTAAGTTGCTTAGCATAAATGGCAAGTCTCGCTGCTACTGTATGCTCTGTTGCTGTGAATGGCATTTGGTAGTTTCGTTAGAAACCTAGAACAAACAAGACTATTACCAAATCCTGAGACATAGCTCCCAAGTAAGTGAACAGCATGAATCAGCTTTCCACAGCCTGTTTTTCTAGTATTTGACCAGGTAATTCACATTAGCCATTGTTATACAGTATTGCTTTATTACTAAAAAGAGATACTAACATGTGATATTGCTGAATATTTATTGCTATGAACAACAACATTACAGCCAAGCATCCATGAATGACTTGATTTCTTACTCTTGGCCCTGGTAGGCTATTTTGTGGCCCATATTTCTCAAAGCATTCTATACCAAGTGTGAGGCTGTTCTGAATACTTTCAAAAGAACTGACTATGGTTATAGGGGACTCCTTAACTTTTCTTGGGAAGAGTAGATATAAACAGCATGTATAGCAAGTCGCAGAAATAAAAGGTTTTCAGGGTCTGTGCTACTTTAAGACCTCTCAAGGGTCATAAAAAACATAATAGGGTGAGTTTGCCTCTACTGGACAGTTATTGTGTTTTTCCGACCTGTTATCCACATGCTGGGACTGACCTGCCTATGTGAATTAAGAAGTGGCGAGATTCTTATTGCAAGTTTGCCTGCTTCCTCTGACCTCTGCCGAGAGAAAATTTTAATTCTCTACTCTGAACCTGAGAACATGAAAGCCCAGTTGTTCTTGGCTGCGGCAACTTTTGCTTGGGAGCCAGCTACACCTTTTATGGATATTTTCTTGAATCTTTTTTCATAGTCCTGTAATTATAGTGGATGTTGCCAAGGAACCCTCGCAGCCACACTCACCACGTGTTGCCTGGAACTCAGCCAATTCCACCAGGCAGGGGAGCGGCTCCCTGACCCAGCCAGCCTCCTGTCGCAAGGTGAAGCCACCCTCCTTTATCCTGGGCTAGCTCCCCTTCTGAATGAAAGCATAACCTGGGTGTATGCAAACCGATCTTATTTTTATAAAGAGAAAGATGATATCCTGGATATCATGAAGGAAAATTTCTCAAGAGAGGCATCTTCCTTTTCTCTAGTAGAAGGGTGTTTGAAATTTGCCATAATAGAAAACTCATAGAGATTGATTAATTTTATATTTAAGTGCTTTAGGTTAAGTTTGAATAACTGTAATAGTTCTGGGCCTCCAACAAGATATTAATGGAAACCATTTTCGTGGGTGTTTAATTGTGTTTTTAGCTGGTAATGTTTAAAGTTAGGAAAAATCAAGAAGTGACATTCAAAATATATATATATTCTATGGCTTGTAGAAAATTAAATAGCTTGATCATGAGTTTATGTTTAAGTGATATTTGGGGGGAAATAAATCCCCAAATCAGTTGGATTCTTGTAGAATTAGGAAAGGAGAGCCGAGGAATCTGCTATGGGAAGGACTAGGGAAGAAAGAGAGTAGTCAGAGCCAAGTTGGGGGGTGGGGGGCGCAGAATGAAACTGAGGCCAAATCATTCTATTCTTAAACCAATAAAAAGTACATTATAAATAATTACGAGCTTAAAAATTAAGTAGCTGCCTGAACATTTTTACATACTCCTTGGGATATTTTTTTTTTCTTGTACATTTTTCAGCAACCATTTTCAATGTTAAAATGTCCTAACAAGTCAATATTAAGGTCTTGGTCTAGGGACTATTCTTTTTTATTACACAACAGGGAGCCAACTGGCATTTTGTCATCTAAGCGAGTTATCATTTACATTCTAGAATAAGAATTTGATTTGATTGTTCCTAAGCAGGCCCTGGAACTAACTTACTATATGAATCACTTTAACTACATTGTCATTTACCACATGTTGATTTATAATAATAAGTTCATACTTTCTTTTCTTTATCTCATTCTTTTCTTCTTGGATATTTGTGAAGAACTAGGGTATATTTTGAATAGAAAAGGCAAGTAAAGGAATGATTTGCACAAGAAAATATAGGTTTTCAACTTCAAGGAAGAGATCCCATGGAATTTGGGATGAATTAACTTTTGCCTTTTCATATTCTGAGTGGTGACCCACCCTATTGGTGTCCCCTCAGTAAATTACAACTAAGCAGAGCCCACACTTACGGAGATGACAGTGGTTTCCATGGTAGCCAGGCAGACAGGTACATCTCCCTGTGACTGGGTGACACTCCTCATTCTCGGCTGAACACTGACATACCTGGTTACAGTCCTTCCCATATGTGCCTGGTGGACAAACTAAGGGGAAGAGGAAATGTAAACCCAATGAATTAAATTTGTCTGTGTAAATATAGCTCTAAAAGTGAAAGCAGGGAAAAATTTATTAAATAAGACCATTGCCTACAGAAGTGTGCTGCCCTTCGGGATTTCGGTTTCATTAAATTTACTTGGGGATTACTTCACTGTTTGATTTTGTTTTGTTCAGTCAATTTGTGACCGACTGTCAAGGGCCAGCTGCAATTTTCTTGTCACTGAAAAAAATCATAGGGTGATGTCAGGTAAAATCAACTAAAATAATAGTATAATTCATTAGGGACCACATATCTGGATAAAGATATATTTTTTTCTGGTACAGCTGGTTTAAACTCTCAAGGTTGTTTCTCTCTGTACATTAGCATGTACTATATATGTGTCACTTGTCAGCCACTCTGCTCAGTTCTGCTGTTTCTTTTTTACAAACCAAACAGTAAAAGCTTTTCCTCCAACTTTTAAATAAAATAATGCCTTTTTTTGGAGTAAATAAAAAGGTTTTCTGGGTATATTTCATCTTATAAAATGAAGTCAAGTAGACATTTTGAGTTTCATGGTTGTTTCACAGGAACATTCAAATGGAAAAAGTGGACAAGTTAAGTTGGTCATGAGGTTCTGCATGTCTAAAATTGAATAATAATTTCTGGACCAACCTTTCTATTTACAACTTAAAGATCTGGCATCAGGAGTATAAGAAAGAATTAAACTGTTTTGAAAGACCTGTGCTGGAGAAATTTTCAGTTGCTTTATTCTCTCCCCCCACATTTTTATTTGTGGTTACTGTAAGTCCATACTGTCCCTTATTTTCTTAGCATCCACTATTCTTAAGAATATGTCATCTTCCAGCTTTCTTTAAGTAACAACGACAGCAAGGATAGAATTTCTAACTATGGGCCAGTGGTTACTTGCTCAGTACTAACATCAAAGACTGATAAAACTCAGGGTGAGTAACAACAACCACCAAACACACATGTACACACACAACACACACACACATACAAAAAGAAACCCCAAAATATTCACTAGAGGATTTTTCCTTTGATTTTTTGACTGGGAAATTCACAAATGTGAGACCAATAAATGGGATCTGATTCAGCATCTGAACATCCATTTATGTGCTCTGCTGTTGGTCTGGACATTCTTTTATCTAGAAGTCAATGATTGTTCAAATATCTATCAAAGACACATTCATCCTGAATTTTCCACATACAACAAGAAGCACATCTGGATTTCCCGTCTAAAAAGCTCATTTAGCAGGTTGATAAGTGACTGAATAAGAACTACCAATGATGGTGGTATCTCGGAGGTGACAGGAGTAGATCTAGGATGTCCTTGCTCCCTTCAGCTCCTATCAGGAAGCACATGAGGAAAGGAACTGCTTAATGGGAAGTTTCTAGCAGGAAATGCTGACCAACAATCAAAACTGTCAAAATATGTGTCATTAGAGACTTCTGAAAGCTTTAGAACCCCAGAGCTGAAATTACCAAAAATTGTTCCCATCATTGGGAAGCCCCATTTTGGTCACAGGGATTACATGAGCAAAAGCTTCTTCTCCCCACAGCAAATAATCCCACAAAAGAGTCCTCCAAAAAGATTAGTTACAGTGAGAAATCCAAGTAGCTAGGCTGAGCACTGTAGGGTTTGTGTAATAATTTGCAGTATCCTGATCTTCATACCCATTCCCCATCTGGCATAGGGCTTTGAGGGAAGTGACATTTGGGCTGCTGTGCTATGAGAGAGCCATAAAAAAAAAGAAATTGTACAGGTCTGAAAGTATCCAGTGAAGGAGGTGTGGTCCAAGGTCAGGTGACCCTATGCTACCATGGACCTTATCTCTGGATTTGAAGAAGTTAGTTAAGCTCTAAGACTTTCAATTTTGTTTTCCACATAATGAGATTAATGGAATCTATATCACAGATTGTTATTAGTAACACAGAGGACACAGTAACATATAGTAACATATAACTCTTAGTGCCTAGGCAACATGTATTCCCTCTCTACTAAAACACATTTAAAATCAGAATCAACTGTCCAAAAAAGATGCTCCATGTAGACAAACCACAGAATAACTCTGCATAATTATGCAGAAACTTTGTCTAGCATTTAAAGACCATCTTTCCATGTATCTGCTATTCAGAGAAAATTATTTCTTAAAAACAAACAATTAAATCACTAGATATGAAGTTTCTGTTACACACATAAATCAAACTTTTCCACATTCTCATTAATTTCTCACTCTTTGGGGGCTTTATGAAACCATTCACAACTGTTGGCTACTTTTCTATCTTTGGAGAACCCCAGAGACATTTTAAGCTTGGACTATTGAACTCTGGAGAAATTAAATTTTAGAAGATATAAATAATTTGCTCATGAAAAGTTGACCTCTTGGTGCTCTTACAGTCAGTTCTCCAGTGGATGTTTAAACATCATTAAAGGAATTTACAATTTGTACTGCAAAGTAATAAAATGAAAATGGAAATAAAGAAATGAAAGCAAGAAAAAAAGCATTCTAAATGTTATGCAAAAAGAAGTTTTGAGAAATACTAAAGCATTTCTTAGATTATTCAGTCACTCTGAAATACATTATCAATTGTCACTTGACTAAAAAACGTGACCAACTTCAGAGGAAATCGAGTGAATGCAAAGCCCGGTAGCCTCTGTTATTGGCAAGAGAAGGTCAAAAGGAACAAAAGCAATTCCTCTTGTTAGTTTATTTTCTTCTGCTTCCAGATGTACTTCACTGCAGTGTGTGATTTAGGTCCATCTTTCAAGACCCGCAGAATTCTGGAATCTTAAGAATTTCTTTCAGTCAAGAATTGTTTCCTGAATAACCCTATGGGCCAGGTTCTAAATAGTCAGCAAAATCAGACGTGATTTTTGTACACATCAAGCTCACAATACTGGGAAACAAAAACAATCAAATAGTTATTCTATCAAATATCTAATTTAAACATATTAAAAGAGTATGGGGTGCTATGAGGGAAATAACACCAGGGACCCCAATTTAGACACCAGGTGAGAGATGGGTGTTTGTTTGCAGATATGCTCTCTGAAGAGAGCATGACTTAACTGAGAGCTGAAACACTAGAGAGTGGGTATGTAGGGAGAAATGGAGTGGGAGGAAAGAGTAGGGAGAAGAAGAAATTTCAGAGGGAAAATGCTGGTCATTTGCGAGAACATGGGCAAGAATATATGTATGAGGGACAATGGTCACACTCTCATCAACATTTCATAGCCCATGGCTGCTGTAACAAGTTTGTATTTATAAATTAGTGACTTAAAACAACACAAAACAATTTTGTCACTGTTCTGAAGGCCAGAATTCTAAAATCCAGCTGCTGGCACGGGGGCTTTGTTCTTTTAGAGATTTAAGTAGAAAATCTACTTCTTTGCTTTATCAAGTTTCTGATTTATTTATTTTTATGTGGTGCTGAGGATCGAACCTAGGGCCTCGCTTGTGTGGGGCAAGCACTCTACCTCTGAGCTACAACCTCAGCCCTCTTTTTGCTCTATCAAGTTTCTAGAAGCCACCTGCATTCCTTGGCTTGTGGCACCTCCTTCTATCTTCATCCAAAAGCTTAGGTTCTTACTTCTCTGCTTTATTTGTAAGAACTTTTGTGATGACATTAAGCCCACCCAGATAACCAGAAAAAAATCTCCCATCTCAAGATGCTTCACTTAATCATGTCAACAAAATCCTTTTTGCCATGTAAAGTCATGCTTCAGGAATTAGGACATGGGTATTTTGGGAACCATTATTCATCCTACTGCAACTTCTATGCTCCGAATCATTTCAATTAACTTCTGATTTATTCCATAGAGGCTATGTTACCATACAGGGTCATGTTCTCCATAGTAACCTGATATATAACTCTTTATAAAAGTGAATACAAATCTCATATTTAACTATATTAGATTAAAATTTATGTGGAAAAACTATTGTCAATTATTTTAAAAGTAATTCTATTTATGGATCCAAAATAGGGGTTTTAATACAATGTCACATTGAAAATGACTTGGGGGCTGGGGCTATAGCTCAGTGACAGAGTGATTACCAAGCACATGTGAGGCACTGGGTTCAATCCGTAGCACTGCAGAGAAAATAATGCTAAGTGAAGTTAGCCAATCCCCAAAAAACAAATGCCGAATGTTTTCTCTGATATAAGGTGACTGACCCATAATGGGGTAGGGAGGGGAGCATGGGAGGAATAGAGGAACTCTAGATAGGGCAGAGGGGATGGGAGGGGCCAGGGGTTTAGCAATGATGGTGGAATGTGATAGACATCATTATCCAAAGTACATGTATGAAGTCATAAATTGATGTGAACATACTTTATATACAGATATATGAAAATTGAGGTCTATATGTGTAATAAGAATTGTAATGCATTCCACTGTCTTGTATTTAAAAATAAAATCAATTAAGTGTTAAAAAATAAAATAAACAAAATAAAAGCATGCTGTCCATCTACAACTACCAAAAAAATTAAGATTAAAAAAAATAATGAGAGTCTTCAGCGAAGATCAGGATTCAGGAAAAATCTTTGGAATTGACTTAGGATTCCCAAGACATGTAAAAGGAGACCCAGGAAGAAGAACTGTACATTGAAAAAAATATATACATGTAATGTTATTATATATTTATATGTTAGATATATTATATAAAAAGATAATAACATTGTTGTGCCACTTAAAAAATATTTTAGGGCTCCCAACTATCTTCAGAACAGCATTTACTTTCTATATAGATCTACTTTAAGCCAGCATTATTGTGCACTAGTAAGATAAACTGACATTAAACCACTTGACCAAATGACAAAGCCAATAAGTGTTATACTGAGGAAGAATACCAGGTGTTCTCAAGATGAGCTCTGAGATTCCTCTTTCCCAGGGCTGCTCTTAGGAAATAAGACTAATGTTAACATTATTTAGTCTTAAAGACATCTAGTGTTTTAACACTCTAGATAGGAAAATCAGTCTGAAAATTT